CTCCTCCTTAAAATTAAAAAAAAAGTCCAAGAATACTAAGAACAACAAAATTGATCTCATCACCTTTTCAGACTATAGGAATCACCAGGAAACTGGTTGGTGTGACTGCCCCCAGGCCTCACCCTTGTAGGTTCTGATGGGTTAAGTCTACAGTGAGCCTGGTAATCTGTGTTTGTAACAGGTATACCCGTGTAATTCCAACAGTCAGGCTGGTCAGGGACTCCCTCAGCAGGACTAACGCTCTTACTTTGCTGGTGAGGAATTGGAGCCTAGGGAGGGCAAACGCCCTGCTGGAGGTCATATGGTAGACACGGCTTACGGGGCGGGATGTCGCAGTCGGGCTCGGCACAAGGACCCACCCTGTGTCTTCCAGCAGTACCAGGAAGGGCCTGTGACTGGGCAGTCAGAGACTGGCCCCCAGCATGCAGCAAGCTACGGCTGCAACTGCACTGGACCCACCGTGCCACGTGGTTTGACTTCCTGCCAGAGGCTTCAGCCCCGACTCGGGGCCCCATTTATCCCTACAACAAGGCAAAGCAGAGTTATGTCTACCTGCTGCCCAGCTCTGGTGCTGAGTGAGGCCTGGGGTTTGTGGGGAGGAGGAAGAGGAATGAGTCACCTCCGGCCACTCACTGTCACTTGGTTCTCTGTGGGTGTGAGAATGGGGGACAACTTTGAAGGTTTGCAACCACCTCCCCGCCCCGTCCATCAGCAGTGCCCCCAGCGGGCCTGGAAGAATTCTCTGAGGCCTGCCAAAACAGGCGGGCGCTGGGAGCCCCCGTCTTGCGGCAAGCTGGGGGGCCCTGCTCTGCATTCTGTCACCTCTCTGCTGCTCTTCTGTAGGGCCTGCGGTTTGACATTTCCTTCCTTAGCCAGTTACAGCCCCAGCAGCCTCTAGGCCGGCTGCTAAAGATACTGGTACGAAGAGCCACCGCAGAGAGCAGGAGGTCTTTTCAGGATCAAAGCAGCTTTGTGAGCTGGTCAGAGCCAGCCGAGCTCTCTGGGATGGGCCCTTCCTTGGGGCACTGCTGAAATGTCATCTCTGTGCCCAGGCCCACTGGTTTCCAATTGCAACGGCACCCGACACATGCGTTCCCACCCCCGCCCCCACCTCCGTCGCATGTATGTATACACAACACTTACCCAGAATCTCACTTCCTGAAATGTTCATTGTGTATCTCTTTCGTGTGTAGGCTCCTTGAAATCAGGGGCCTTTGCTTTGTTCACTGAGGCATCCCGAGCCCTCGGCAGAGTTCCTGGCACTTTGAAGGCCCTTAAGGCACACTGTTGAGTGAAGGCATGCCTGCTCATCCCTCCCATGCCTGGGAGGGGCTGCGACGGCCGCCATGGCCTGACTCGGCCAAGATGTGGGCACCAGCAGGGCTCCCTTGGCCACTCTGAAGGATCCGTTCCCTCCCACATGTCAGAGGAGGGAGGAGAGGGACTCCCATCAGCTTCTCAAAATAATCGCTTAAAGGAAACAAGTGTGTCACAAGTGCTCTGGTGGTGTGATCAGGAGGCCGCTGCGAAGTCCCCACTCCGGATTTAAAGCAAATCCCAGCAGTGACATTACAGGGGAGGACTAAACCTTACCCTCCTTCCTTCTCCATCCCCTTAAGTCCCCAGTGTGTTTATAAAATGTGTCCTGTCATTCTAATGAGGAAGAAGGGCTCTGAGCAGCCCAGCGTTCCCTGGGACCATGGAGAAGTGAGGGTTTGGGAGCCTGGGGGAGTGATGAGGGAAGCAGAGAGCAGTGGATGCTAAGGACCACCTTTGCCAACTTAGCAAGTTTGTTTTAGGCCAAACTTGTTACCTTCACTGAAGGAAAGTAGATCCTGGCTCATTGTCGGATGGGCCACAGGCTCAATTGCCTCAGCTCCTGGAGAGCTTATAGCAGGTAATTAGGGAGCCTGGCTTCTGCGGTGGGTGTGTTTTGTGGGGTTCCTGGAGTTCCCTGATCACTAACGCACTCTGTGAGCCTCTGTGGCCTCATCTATAAAATGACATTGGGTTAGATCATCTTTGAGGCTCCTCCTAGCTGCCTCCAAATCTTTAGGAAATACTGAGCCTGTGTACTAATGAGGGTTCCCTTGGTCTCAGCAGCAGGCGCTAATGAGGGCTGGAGTCTCCTGTCCTGGAGACTTGAGAGATCCCATGGATTGGACACTGACTGCTGGGGTGTGCTTGAGGTGTCATCCTGTTCGTGAAGGCGATCCCTGTTCTGCGGTTTGAGGATTTGCTAGCTCACAGCACCTAAGGACTAAGAGTATCTCCAAGGGTCCTGGCCAAGGTTGGCCTTGGGACATGGGTGAATCAGGGAGTCTCCCACTCTGCAGGATGTGCCCTGATCGGGAATGCTTCTCCAAATTTTATAAAAATCCATGTCACCAAGGAGGAAGCAAGGGGGTGGGGGGGGTGAAAGGGGATACAGACCAAAGAACAGCTCACCAAAGCTCCTGTCCAGCTCTGCAATGAACAGCTGATTCCTCTAGGTTTCAGAGATGGTCTGAGTGTTCCTGGAAGCCTGACATCACCACAGGGACGTTAAACCAAGAGTCAGGGGACCTCAGCCGCAGGAGCAGTAAGACAATAAAATACACAGTGGTTGTATCCAGGTTGTAAGGCTCCAGAATTTCAGAGAAGGGGAGCCAGGTGAGAATGGGCAGGTCTTCACAGATGGTCTTTGAGCTTCACTGAGGAGGCTGAGCCAGCACAGAGGGCCTGCTGGGCAGGAGCAGGGACCGGGGAGGGGATGAAGGTGGGAGGAGGTGAGGAGCAGATGCCCCGTGGAGGGGACTGGCTGGAGGCCAGAGGAGGAAGCTGGTCTAGGTCGGCCCAGATGCCCAAGGTTACACGGATCAGGGAACTCCAGGACTAATGGGAAGGTTGGACTGGGGGAGAGATGATGGTTTTGTCACCTTATCTGTCTTTTATCTCATAGGATTCTCAGTAAGTTAAGTCAAGAAATCAACAAGAATGAAGAGAGAAGGAGCATCTTCACACGCAAGTGAGTGGGGGAGCCAAGAGTCCAGTGACACCGTAATGGAAACCCAAAGAATTTTCAAACCCAAGTTGAACCTTCAATGGGAAGCACAGGACTGTTTTTGCCCCAGTTTTTGACCTGCAGCACTCCTTCAGCCCCCAGGGTCTTGCAGCTGGTACCAAAGAGGGGAGGGGGAGCTCATTTTCTCTGCCCGGCATCCTACCCATGGGTCTGTGACTTCAGGGGAACTTCCCCTAGAGAGTCAGGCGGTCACGAGCTCCCAGTTATTCCACTAATGTGACTTTGATAGTTTCCAGAATTTTCGGTTAGCCTGGCCCAAGGTGCTAAGCAACAAGGACACCAGTCCTAGATGGTGAGATATACCCCCTACTGGGGGCTTCTCTTGCAGGGCTGGATTGAAGAAAGAGGGAGATGCCCTTAAGCCAGTAGCACCATTAATGCAATGCTGTTTGCCTTTGCAGACCCCAAGTCCAGCGGTTTCCTGAAGAGACAGGTAAAGGTGTCAGGGGTGGGAGTGATTGCTTTAGGAGGTGACAGGTACTTCGATTCTTCTGTCTGCCGGTTCCTGGGCTCCTGGGGTATTGTGCAGGTGACCTTATTCATCTGCCTGTCAGGCAGTTCTTTCCCAGAGAGAGGTTTGGGTCCAAGTTGAGAGCAGGACAGGTGTTACCATGCCCGGTGCCTGGTTTCTGGCCCCTGGTTAGCTGGGAACCTCTACAGATCTGAAATGAGGAATGCCGTGGGGAAACATGGGAGGATCCAGGCTTTGACTGAGCACCTGAGCAAAGCCAGTGCCCCTCCATCTCCTGTATAATAAGACTGGGTCTTTAAATCTTTAAAGAAGCTTTAGGGATAGGTCCGCAGTGTCTGTGTATTTTAAAGTCCTCTGGGTGACTGTTCTGTGGTGAAGGATTGGGCACCACTGCTACCTTCTGGTAGAATGAGCTGCTCAGGTGGAAATTCTAGAGCTGATACTAAACCAACCCCCAGGTATGAGAAAGGTAGGATGAAGGCCTGGGATGGACAGTGGTGTAAGAGTACATCAGCTGGGGTGCTGCTTTGACTTTTCTTCTAGAGACTTCTTTTGGTACTGATGAGGGTGTGATCTTCTTCCACAGAAAGCCATGAAGAGGACAATGGGGGCTGGTCATCGTTTGTGAGTATGGTGTGGGCTCTTCTACCCTTACAGCGGTTTGCAGAGCACCTTTGTAATAAGGAACTAGCATGATGCCAGAAGGAGCAAGGCCTCTAGCAAGATGCCAGCATTACCCTCCCCTGGGTGTCATAAAGTGTGTTCTCTAAAGGTCAGGTAGTAAATATTTCCAGCTTTGCCACCCACACGGCCTCTAGCTCGTCCACTCACCTCTGCTTTTACAGCACAATAGCAGCCATAGATGATAGCTGAACAATTGTGCTTGGCCGTATGCCAATAAACCTTTATTTACAAAAACAGATAGGTGGGCCGGATTTGTCCCATGGGCTGGAGTTTGCAGATCATGCCATTAGTCACTATTATCACCCCCACAGCAGGGCCTTCCCAAACTCCCTCCCCTAGATGGTATACACTGAAGTAGCTTAAAATAGATTTTCTCCTAGACTTAAGTCCCCACTGGTGACACAGAGGGAAAGGGAGTTCAGAATCAACTATTAGCCTTGAAAAGACCTCAGGGAAAGTCCAATCTAATTGGGTTTTTATGTTGGAGGGGTCAGAGTGACCCCTTTGAGAGTCTGATGTCCTCTGGATATCCTCTCCCCAGAAGACTGCATTCACAGCCACTATGCATGAAGCTGGACTCCGGCTAAGCACTCGATTATGGCTCGGAGCCCAGTGTGCTCATTTTACAGATGAAGCAGCTGAGCCCACTGGAGAATGGGACTTATGTAGAGCCACACAGCCAGTTAGAGGCAAGCCTGGGACCCAGGTGGCCCGATCCTCAGTCTAGTGGTCTTTCTGGTAAGCAGCCGCCTCAGTGCCTTTAGGAAGCAGGTAAAGCATCCCTCGTCTTAATGGGATTCTGGCAAAAGGAAGCATTACATTTGAAAAATGCTAGCTAAGTCTGTGCTTTCTCTAAGAAGACAAAGGAATTGGACAGATTTATTTTGTACAAAAGGGAAAAGACCAGAGTTTCCCCCAAACTGTGTACAGTTTTGCACCGAAGCTGCATCTTTACCACTGCAAAGGGCCATGTGGAGTCTCCCTGTGGGAGCCCAGCCTGAGGCTAGTGTCCTTCATCCTCTCCACAAACACAGGCTTTCCATTAGCCACTGCCTCTAACACTCATGGGCTCCAGTGCATGCCCAGCCCTGCACAGGGCACTAGGTGAGCAGGGATGGAGACAAGGCACCCAACCCTGTAAGCATTTTACAGCATGGATAACACACGGCAGAATATGATTAAGAACAAATACATGCATGCAAATTTAGGAGCCAAATCATTGGGGAAGCCCATTGTTCGAGAAGTGGAGAGGAAAAGTCTCTTGTTGAGAAAGGCTTCCAGGTAAAGCCTGGTAGAAAGCAGGAGCAATGGGGCCAGGGTGTGTAGGCTGAGACAATCTAGGGATTCCTCTGTCAGTCAAGGGCAGTCAGCGGGACCACTAGGGAGACAGGTGGAGGCTACTATTCTCAAGGCCCCTGATTCAGGGGTTCCATCCCCTGCTCTCAAGTTATAGGAACACAAAGGACAGGATGAAGTCTTTTTTTTTTTTTATAATAAGACTATCATTATTATTCTTTTTTTTTCATTTTTTTTCAAAGATTTCATTTCTTTATTTGACAGAGAGAGAGAGATCACAACTAGGCAGAGCGGCAGGCAGAGGGAGAGGGAGAAGCAGGCTCTCCGCTGAGCAGGGAGCCCGATGCGGGACTCGATCCCAGGACCCTGGAATCATGACCTGAGCCGAAGGCAGATGCTTAACCGCCTGAGCCACCCAGGCGCCCCTGGGATGAAGTCTTTTTCAGAGTTCAGGAAGACACTCAACCTCACTTTGCCTTCCAATATTTTAAAAAATTTTCCTCAAATCAAACAGGAACACAGGAATCTTCAATTGAACAACTTAGACAGTCTTGCTTAAGTCACCTAGCAGAGCTGTAAGGATTTCTAGGCTACCGTTACTCACTTTTCCTCATCAAGATGCAACCTCCCACGGCTTCTTTCCATACTGCCCTTGACTTTAGAGAACTGCCCTGGGCTCATTTATTGCCCACCTGACTTTGGCACGAGAGTGATAAGGCGCTCGTCCCATGCGGCTGATGGTGCCACCTCTGCTTGGGACATCATTACTATGACTGTCCATTTGCATGAGCGGCCTCAAAGGCAGTCACTCATTCCCCAGGGCTCCCTTTCCCCGAGACCCACAAAGAAGCACACATAAAATCCAACGCAATGCTTAAAATTTAGAAAGAGTCTCTTCCAAAAAAGCAGCTTTAAACTCAGTGTCAGATGTCATGAATAATAGGCTGTTGTTTCTCCACACTCAGCTCTCAGCAAAAAGGATTGCACAGCCCTGACTCTCCCCTCTCCGACACAATTTAATCTGCCTTCTAATTAACAGGCTTTGGTTATCTGGTTTCCCCATTAGCATGGCCTTCCACACTGCACTAGGTTCTAATGAGAAGAATGTTTTGAGCACAAGCACACCAAGAACAGAACTGACAATTAACTAGCGGCATCGCAAATGCTCCAGGCATTTAATCTCCCTCTTGGTGATGCCTAGAATAAAAAACATGTTTACTCAACACAGAGCTGGCTCTTCCACCCTTTTATTCCTGTGCCCTCCTCATTTCTTCTGCTTTCCTCTCTTGGGCAAAAAGGTGTAGAGGAAAATGCACTCGCCTCATGGCCTGAAGGCCTTGATGGAGGTTCCAAGTCCTCGACTCGCTGGCCCCTGCTATTGCACTCCCCAACCTCAGCGTCCTCATCTGTGAAATGGGAGTGACCGGCCTACTGCTGCCACCTCCCTACCCCAGGACCCTTGTGAGGCTTGGCAGAGAGAGAATCTATGCGGGCACCTGGGTGCCACGGAGCCTCTACAAACTGGTCTGTCCCCATCACTGTGTTGGCAGGATGAAGATGACTATGAGAGCCCTACCGACGATCAGAATGAGGATGACAATGACGACTATGAGTCCCCCAACGAGGAGGAAGAGGCGCCCGTGGAAGATGATGCGGATTATGAGCCGCCACCCTCCAATGATGAGGAGGCCCTGCAGAACTCTATCCTGCCTGCCAAGCCTTTCCTCAACTCCAACTCCATGTACATAGGTAAGGCCCTGGCCGCCCGCACCGGCCGTGCGGACCCACACGAGGCCAGTGTCCATGGAGCACCAGGGGGCCCGCTAACGCCAGCTCAGCGGCTTCCCGGCCGTGGGGCTTTGGGCAGGTGACTCTCCCTCTCTGGGCTTCAATTTCCTCATCTGTGAAATAGGATAATAAAAATGGAGACCGCAGAGCTTTGCTGGGAGGATAACTATTGCAGACAAATCATTGCCTGTGGTGGCTGATACCAACACTGAACTTCCACTTGCGGGCATCTGGCAGTAATAAGTCATTTTGTGTAGGACTTAGGGACTCAAGAGTACCTTCCTGTTTCTCCCCGTCTTCCGACCAACTCATGGTTACGTGGCACTTTCACCCACACACTGCCACGGAAAACATAACCATACTAAGGGGGTTTGACCATCACTTAAGAACATTTAAACACTATTTAAAATTTTGACTGTCAGTCTGCTCCTATCAGCCTGTTTCTCCCTCATTCATTCATTTCTCCGTTCAACAACAATGACCGGTCTCCTCTTGTGAGCCGGGCAGCATTCTGAATGCCGAAATGTGAACTCATCAGGAAAAAAGACAGAGCCGCCACCTCGGGTCGTACCCGCTAGGAGTGGTGGTGACAGAAAACAGGCTTCTGCACAGCAGTGTATCAGCTTGGCCTAAGGATACCTTGGTGGGATCAGAATACTGTGAGTTTCTGTCCAGAGCAAGTCCAAGTAACCAGTTAAGATCTGTGAATCCGAGGCTCCTGGCTGGTTCAGTCAGTGGAAGCTGTGACTCTTGATCCCGGGGTTATCAATTTGAGCCCCATGATGGGTGTACATATTACTTAAAAATAAAATCTTACCAAAAAAAAAAAAAAGTCTGTGATTCGGTAACAGGAGTTGGTGACCAGCCCTTCCCTTTAAGGCAAGAGACAGCAAAAGGAGCAAGTGGGAGGGGGAGGTCAGTCCAGAGCATTTGTGAGGGGAACGAAGGGGGCCTACGACCTGAGCCATTAGGGCCGAGGTAATGCTGCCCCGGCACCTGGATGTGTGTGTGTGTGTGTGTCTGCCTGTGAGACTCGGGCGGGCTGGCCTTGGCACTGGCGGGGGTCTGCGGGATGGGGCGCCCCCGGAGCGCAGAGTTGCTGAGTCCGGCGTGGGGTCTGCTCTTCCCGGACAACACAGCCCGCCTTGGTGTGGCATTTCTGCTTTCATTTCACTACCCTACTGCTCTTGTCCTTCCGCAGACCGGCCCCCCTCCAGCAAAGTCCCGCAGCAGCCGCCCGTGCCCCCCCAGAGACCGACAGCTGGGTTTCCTCCGCCGCCGGCAGGCCGGAGTCACGCGGTAGGCCTCCCAGCTTTCTTCACTGGTGCTGTGTCCACTTTGATCCCTCCTTTGCCAGAGAGAGGACTTCAACGTATCTTTACCCAATGCTGACTAGTAAGAACAGATTATATATAGGCTGGGAACATGCAAACCCAAGCACTCGCAGTGTGGGGGTTAGGGGGGTGACATACATACAGCAATACTTCATTACTGAAGTAGTTTAAATTGTTTTGGGTAATCGGCATTTTCTTTTTACCCAAAACAATTTAAACTACTTCAGTAATGAAGTATTGCTGTCCCACTTTTGAAACTAATAAAAACTGTGAAATAAACCCGACGGACCAAGGTCAGTAAATGGCCCCTACCGCTATTGCGTGGGTCCCTAGCACCTTCTCTCGCCGCAAGACGTGCGCCACCTACTGGCCAGAGGCGGAAATTCCGCGGGCCGGTGGCTTGAGCCGCCAAGGCTTAGAATGTAGAGAACCCAGGGGGAGAGAGAGAGAGGCCGCAAACTGCCTTTCCTCTTTCTTCAAGCTTACAGCCTCAGGTCCTGTGGGTCCAGTTAAGTACCCAGAGAGACCCCGAGAAATTCAGGCTAATATGTCAATAGCTGGAAATGTGTTTTCTTCAAAAGGGATCGGAGCACTTTAACTGCAGGGTAATTGCCAAAGTGTCAGGGCTAGAAGGAACGAGAGAATGTATTTTCCCAAAATCTCAAAATGCAGACCTCCCCACAGTTGGGACCTTTCATCTAAGCATACATGGCTTCCTCTTGCTTGTGCAGTTTTCTTGCAAAGGGGGCTCAGGGAGCTGAATTGATCTACAAAACATTTTGCTTTGAAACCTGAAGGCCTCCACCTCCACTATTGGGATGCAGAATTCTCTCATTCAGTCAATAAATAGTTACTAGCCGCTGACCGTGTGCCAAGCAGTATTCTAGCTGCTGGAAATAGAGCACGGACAAGACAAATAAGGTCCCTTTGCTTTTATAAATTTTTTATTTTGGTTGGGGGAGGCAGATACTAAACAAGTAAGCAGATGTATGCACAAGACAATTTGAGTAGTAATGTGTGGTTAGGGAGACAGAGAACCCAGTAACTTGATGATGGGTGGGAAGATGACATTGAGCTGGACAGAATGGGCCAGTTGTGGCAGGAGCCAGGGAAGGAACATTCTAGGCAGAGGGAAACACAAGTACCGAGATTAGAAGGAGGGCATGAGCTTAAGATCTTGCAGGAACTGTAAGAAGACACTTGGAGTGGGAGCCCAGTGGGCACTGGAGAGAGGAGTCTAAGAAGGAGTTGGAAAGGTGGACACACGGCGAGTTTTTATTGTGTTCCTAATGTGATAGGGGCCACTTGAGGGCTTGGCAGGGGAGTGACAGACTCACTCCACTGCCATGCAGATAATACCTCGGATGAAAGAGTGTGGGATGGGGAACTCAGGTAAGAGGTTATGGTCCAGGAGAGAAATGACAGGAAAGTGAACAGAGTCAGACAGATTTGGAGCGATAAGGCCCCAAGTGAGAACTTGTGGATGTATCCTAATTAGATGCTACCTAACATGTGGATCTTTTTTAAACAGCCACTCCTCCCACCCCAACCAAACCATGAAGAGCCTAGCAGAAGTAGAAACCATAAAACAGCAAAGCGTAAGTCCGGGGGCTGCCCTCTCACCCACCAGTGCACCTGCTCCTTCAGCCCCAACCAAGTGCTTTCTTCTTGTAATTGACTTCAGTCTTTTTCCCTTCCAGTCCCTGCTCCTTCCATAGACAGAAGCACAAAACCTCCCCTCGATCGTTCATTAGCACCATTCGACAGAGAGCCCTTCACACTAGGTTGGTATCTCTCTATTTGATGCCTAGTAACAATGGCCAATATTTATAGAGTGCTTACGGCATGATTTTCACACGCACCACCACAATCATAATGGTACCGTGATGTGGGACTATTAGCATCATCCTCATTTCATAGACGAGGCAACGGAGGCCCAAAGACATAACTTTCCCAAATAACTCAGTTACCCAGTGATGGGGGTAGAGACTCAACCCCAGGTCAGACTGGCTGCAGAACTCCTGCTGTCAGCCCTGGGCTGGGCTTGCTTCTACATGGGTGCCATGTATACACATATCTCATTGTCCTCCCGAAGGATGGTGTGGGAGGCAGTGCAGTGCAGAGGGAGGGCCTGAGCTGAGACAGGAGGTCTGGGAGAGCTGTTGTCAGTTGCTTTGGCAGCTACTGAGCCGCTTACTGACCGCAGGGACCATGTGTGTTCAGAGTTGTCTCCTTCTTTGTAAGGTGTTCGGTTCTGTAAGGAGAAGATGCTTGATAAAACTCCAAGGTGCTATTCAAATGTCAAAGTTGTTTATCGTTGCCCATGTGCAGCTGACCAAACTGTGGCTATCCTACAGTCCTTTTCCCCCAAAAGTGGCCCAGAGTGTTCTTGGAATATGGCTACTTCTGTATAAAGCTATTTTCAATTCCATTCTAAAACTTAGCGACCATTTATTGAGCACCCACTCTGGGGCAAGTACTTTACCTACCAAAAATAATTTACCCATATTATCCTCACACCAACCCAACGAAGGGGGTGTATCCCTCCATTTTGCAGACAATGAAACTGAGGTTCAGAGAGGTTGAAGAACTTTTCTACATTTGCATAACTTGGTGTAGGATTTGAACCCATGTCTTTCTGACTTCAAAGCGGGTGCTCTTTTCCGCCACATCATGCTACAGTTGGAGACCCTGGATTTTCCTTGCTCTGGGGTAGGGAGTTCTGGAGAAGGAGCTAGGAGCCTTGCCAGAGAAGGAGCCCGGAATCCTGGCCACACCCAGCCTTCCTGACCCGCACTCTGAGCAAGGCAGTTAGGCTACTGTGGCCTCAGGTTCCCGTGTGCAAATGAATTTCAGTTCTTAGATCTGAGGCTCCTGTTTGCTGCTGTTTCCACGAACTGGACCACAGCTCTGAGGACTCATGCAAAGCTCTGTCGGCTGTTTGAGTTCAGAGCAGTCTGCTGTATAGGGCTGTTCAAATTACATGAAAATGAAGACAGAGAGATTCAAGTTCAGACCCCAGATGGGCTCACTACCAGAAGTCAAAGCATCAGAAAAGTGGAATACTGACATCAAATCCTTCAGAGTCACCTCCTGAACAAAAGTTTCCTTTTAAAAGATTCTTTAAAAAAAAAAAAACTTTTTATTTTTTTTATTTTTTAAAGATTTTATTTATTTATTTGACAGAGAGAGAGAGAGGGGGTGAGTGTGAGAGAGCACAAGCAGGGGAGCGGCAGGCTTCCTGCTGAGCAGGAAGGGGCTCCATCCTAGGGCCCTGGGATCATGACCTGAGACACCCAGTGCCCCCAAAAAACTGTTTTTAAAAGTACCCTTTCTTGACAATACCTACTCTTGACTGCTTCCTTGTCCATGATGTTTTGAGAGTACTAACCTCTTAGGATGCCCAGAGAATATGCATACACCAGAAGATTTTTTTTTTAAAAAAAGAAAACCTACTTAAGCCTAAGAATATAAATCTAAATTTTCTGGGTAACCCTGTAAAGTAGGGTTTCCATCCTAAGCCAGAGTTTTATGAATAATAAACATTTCTTATACCACCAAAACTGTCTCTTACTGGGCAGTGAGCTCTTCACAGTAGGAGGAGATTCGTAGGCCCTGTCAGGGGCCTGGGCTGTACATCATGTCATGAAAATCATATCATCATTCACCTTGGGGTGTTAACTGCGCAGAGGTATGGGAGGGAGGGAAAGAAAGAGGAAGTATCTAGGAGTTGTCAGCGCCCATGGATATGTGCCTGACCCTGCGTATAAATCGTCACCTGATCCTTACGGCAAACCTGTGCGTTTTTAACCTACAATACTCATTTTACAGGTGAGGGAATTGAGACTCAAAGACCTTAAATAACTTGCTCACGGCATATAGGATTTGCTTATAGACCTGGTTGAATAGTTAAGTGGTACTTTTTATTGCACTAAAAACACATAGGGCTTATCTACTCGAAGGGACTTCGGACAGAATCAAAAATAAATTGCTTTGAATAACTTTGCAATGCAGAGTTCTCAGGTACACCTAGCATTTCTTCAGGGAACCTGCATGTTGTCTATTCCGAGAGAAAAGTAAAAAGAAGAAAGAAACAAAACCCAACCAGAAATTAAGACAAAATGATTTGCACCCCACCAGGAGTATCTCCTAAAATGCTCTTCCCCAAATCAAAAGTTTTTCCAGAAAGTAAGTGTAATACTTTAGGTAATGTCAAATGTACCACAGGATTGGAGGAAAATTAACCCCTCTGGGGCAAATGGGCTTATTTCAGTTACAGGAATAAACTGAGGCTATCCAAAGAACTTCTTAGTCAATGAAAGAGGCATAAAATCCCAAGAAGACATTTTAATCCTTCTTATCATCAGTTACATAAAATCAAATGTTGAAAAGAAGCACAGAATTCAGAATACTGTTTGTATGTACACAACTCTGAGTGGCCTTGGGCTAGTCACGTAATTTATCTGAGCCTGTAAAATTAGGTGCTCCATATGGGCATCTTCCAGGTCTGAAGTCTGTGATTCTTCAATGCTCACACCCAGTCGGCCCCCTTAGGGCTTGGACTCATGGTTTCATCAGACTATGTTTGAATACCTCCTGCTTAGTGGATAAAGTATTCAAGGCCTGCCTGCTCTTTGTCGTTTACAGGAAAGAAGCCCCCATTTCCTGACAAGGTAAGCTCCTTCCCTGGTTTGTTCTGTTTGTTTTTACTTTGGTTTCATTTTGTGTCTTGTCTTTATTCTTTGAAAAGTGCTGAGGACACTGACATGTCTTCCCTCCTGTCTTACAGCCCTCGGCCCCCGCGGGAAGGTAACGTGCCCTGTCGCATCTGTGTGAGGGTACATGGTGTATGCTATAGAAACATGGTTCAGTTTGGTTCTCACCCCGGCTTTCTCTCAACTCTTCAGGCCTCTCGGGGAGCATTTACCCAAGATGCAAAAGCCTCCTTTACCGCCAGCCACTGAAAGGCATGACAGGGGTAGCCCCCTGCCAGGGAAGAAGCCACCTGTGCCCAGGTAACTGTCTTCTGTTGCCTGAGTTTGTCACTCAGAGAGGTGACGCCAACAGCCTGCCTAGCAGTAGCCTACAAGGAACCGAAAATCACGGGTGCTCCTGGGGAGCAGTGGATGGTTTCGCTGCTAGGGCTTGAGGAATTCTGGCTTCTCGGGTTGGATGTCAAGTCCTGGGTCCCTTTGAAGACGACAGTGATCTAGCAAAGAAAGGAGTGGAGCGATGCTTCATCAGGAGGACGGGAATGGCTACTGTCTGTGGAGAACGCCTCCTCAACCAGTCAAACCCGGGCTCATGTTTTCCTTTCACCTCAATCCGTGGGAACAGTACCTGCCACTTCATTTTTCAAGACAGGTAGCAGAGATGACATAATTGGGAGAGGTTTTTAGGTCACTGTAAGGGTCTTCCTCACTCTTCAGCCACATTTTATAATGGCAGAATTGCTCTACTATTTCTAAATTTACTGTGAAGTCTTTTGGGGCCTATGTACCAAAGGCATAAATGTATCTGAGGTCAGGCTCCACTTTACTCCTTATGAAGGACATAACCAAGGCTTCTGTTTTTCTCCTCAGCATAATCAGGCTTCATAGCTCCTGCTGTTGGATTGAACCAGGGCCACGGCTAGAGGGCACCAGAAAAAAAACCTCAGTAATCAAGATATTTTGAATGGATTTTTTTTTAATGGAATCTTTTTAGAAATCAAAATGAATGTAAAAAGTATAAAATGAACAAAATATCAAAATTTTAAATAAACCCACGATGGGAGGATGATGCCGCGTGAAGCCCCTGACAGATAGGAGGCGTTCGATACATTCCTTCTCTGGTCCCCCTGTCCAAGGAGGACGTGACATGGGCCCAGACACACAGCTGCCTGCCAGAGCCCAAAGGCAGCTGTCGCCACATCTGTCTGACTAGCTCGTGCATCTGGGAAAAGTCCCAGAGCAGGAGCATTTTCCAACTGTCTTCCCTTCACCCGAAGGGTAAGCCCCAAGATGGCTGTTTTAAGATATCAGCAGAGGAGAATATTACCTAAAATGTTTTCATTTGCTTGGAGAAACATCTACTCAGTGAAATTTAATAGCTACTAAAGAGTTAGTTTGCTGACTAAACCTTTTTTATATAAATGTAATTATTTGCTGCAGTAGCTAAAAGAATTAAGGTTTGCCTAGCTCAGCTCAGCAATGGTGACAGAACATTGAGTCACCAAACCCTCCCTCAACTTCTGCTCCTTGGCTTTTCTGCTGTTCCCCCCCCATTTTATCACAGTTCAGTGGGTTTGATTTCTCATTATTAGAGCAAGTGAAACTATCTATATTCTGAGTCTGGCTCGTTGGAACTCTTCATGTTCAGTTCTTTTTTAAATTCATTTCAGGCACGGTTGGGGACCGGACAGAAGAGAGAATGTAAGTACAAAATCCCATTTGATAGATTCTTGGCGCAGGGAAAATCAGTGCAGGCTCTGTGGAGCTTGGGGCCATGCATTTCGCAGACTTCACTGAAGCCCAGTGCATGGAGCAAGGCCTGCACGCAGTCAGCTCCTAAATGCTGGTACCGGGGAGGGCCTCCGTCTTCTCCTCCTGCCCACAGTGCTGCATGGCTTTGCTCTGGTGCCTCTGAGAGCTCCCAGGGTGGCCGGCTGCATCACAGCCCCATTCCCAGATGGTGATTCGTAAGGTAAATAACCGTGGTTGGAGGGAAGGATAAAAGGAGGGATGCCCAAGAGTCTGGGCCTCGAGGCAAAGTTTACAAGCCCTCTGTTTTCCCTTTTAATAAGTCCATGACCTGAATAAGAAAGGGAATAGCAATTATTGAATGCCTGCTGTGTGCATGTTGACAAGCCAGCGACTTTTGGGATGATGAGCTGTTTGCCTGGGAAACAGCAATGTAAGTTTTATGTCCAGTTTTAACAATGAAAATCTTATGTCCCAGAGGCCCCATCGGTTTCAGGCAAACTGGACAGGGACAGTTGGTCACCCCAGCTTTACACATGTTTTGCCTTTAATGACCCTATGAAGAATCATTGTTTCTCTTTTCCTAAAAGGAAATCAAAGCTCGTAAGGGGTAAGATGCTCATCACAAGTTGCACAGCTATGATTAGCCAGGATTGGAATCCAAGCCTGTGCGCTTTCCTCTACACCATAAGCCCTCTGAAGGTGATCACACCCCTACCACTGTTCAAGGGCTCAGCCCACAGGAGCCTGCTGTCTTGCAGCTCTGTGCTAGATGCTATGATGGTTCAGATACTGTTCTAGGATATGAAAGACAGGCAGACCCACACCCAACATGCTAAACAGTAAGGGATCATGGAATGAGCTCTAATGGTGGAGGCAAGAAAGTAATTGATGGGGCTTGAGGGGCCAGGGGTAACTTCTTAGAGGTGAGATTTATGATGTCATTGAATGATGGGGAGGGCATAGAATAGAGTCATCCTAAGAGAAAGCCCAGATGCATTCCAGCCTCAGGAACGTCCTGAGCAAAGGCAGGTGGGTGACAATGCCCGTTCACCCTACAGGGACTGCAGGGACAGCAGCTTGGCTGCAGAGCCATAGGGAGAAAGAGGAGACAAGGTTGAAAGTGAGGATAACATTATACTCTTGAGGTCCCCAGTCTCTGGGAGGGTCGATGCTCCTGTCATGAGAATTCCAAGAGTTGTAGAAGGAAACATGACATTGTTGCAATGGTGTTGAAGAGAGATTTCATCATGGGCATTCACTGAGCCCATGTGTAGCACTTTGCTGGGACTCCCAGTTGGCCAACTGGGATGAATGATTCTGGCTATAACTCTTCTTATCTCAATGGTGGGACCAATGACAGCTAACTTTCACTGAGCACTCCACATATACCAGGCACATGGAATAACCAACGTAATCCTTGCAACAATACTTTGAATAAGGTGGTCTTTCTTTACCAGTGTGCTGGCCTATCAAAACAAGTCCAGATTGGCAGTTTGGGCCTGCCGGTCAATGGCAAAATCATTTCGCCTCTTGGAACATCATTTCTCATCTGAGGAGTACAGCAAATAGCTCTTCCCTTGCCTATTTCACAGGTTGCCTGAAGATAAATGCTGAGCAATGTAGACACCTTGTAAGCTACATGGTACATAAATAAAGTGGAGTTGCTTTTAAGGGGCGTGGCAGAAAGAAGGCTGAGCCTTGGGTCAAATTAGGGGACAAATCCATTTCTATAACCCTTGGCAAGTTAGGACTCCTTCCTGAGCGCCACGTTTCCATTTGTAAAATGAGGATATTGAATTTTTAAAGGGTTGTTAGGAGAATTGGATGAGACACCGTATATAAATCTTTGGGGGCACATAGTAGATACTGCCATTATTATTGTGTTTTTCGGCCCTTTTGGACACCTCAGAACCTATTCTGAGAGTCTCAGATTGGAGTGTCCTTAGATGATTGTTTGTATTAAGAAATTATGAACCACTTAGCAAGCTTTACTGTTCTCCACAATATATTTATTATGGAAACACACAACTGCTAAAGAAAGAGAGACATTTATATGATTGAGAAATGCAGTTCTTTTAGGAATTGTGTTTTGATGATAGGCTAATACCTTTTTTTGTTTCTTCCCTTTACCAGGATGAAGATGATGGTATGTTCAGAAAAAGCTTCCTTACAACTTATAACTCATTTCTTCATTTTTCTGCTCAGGCATTCATGTGGAATTATTTAGCACAGGAATCCCATAGAATCAATTATAATTGTTAAATTAGTATTAAGTAGACGTAGATCAGTTGGTATACTGCATTATTTATCTGGGTTACCAAAGAGAACTGTTATGTTCATAAGTAATGGTGCAAATAACTTAACAGTACAGCAAAATTAAAAATCGCATATATGGTTTGATAGAAAAATTTCTAATATTTATGCCTTCTAATACAGGAAAGGATCACTAACTGTAGATAAATGAGACAGCATAAAATTTGGCTTACATAAAACAAAACTTGTGAATCATTTCTGAAATTCATATGGTTTCCAACTGACAATTTTCTGCCAAGACAGCATTGCAAAAATGAAAAAATAAGATAAATGTGTATTATAGAGAATATAGAATGGCAGCACTTTATTTATTTTATTTTTTGTTGTTGTTGTTTTTTAAAGATTTTGACAGAGAGAGACAGTGAGAGAGGGAACACAAGCAGGGGGAGTGGGAGAGGGAGAAGCAGGCTTCCCGCGGAGCAGGGAGCCCGATGCGGGGCTCGATCCCAGGACCTCGGGATCATGACCTGAGCTGAAGGCAGACGCTTAACGACTGAGCCACCCAGGCGCCCCTAGAATGGCAGCATTTTAATGCACTCTAAGGTGGCAAATCATCTAGAAAAACCTTGGGGGTGGGGTTCCATCCTACCACTCCATAATTACATTTGATCTTTTGACCAGCTGTTTCTGACTTATGGGGGAGCAGTTCTGGAAGGTTCCTGGGACACTTGGTTCCTGATAATCTGTTTTATTTTTCCTTTTCCCCACAGTGCATCAAAGACCTTTGCCTCAACCCACAATGCCCTCCATGAGCTCCAATACTTTCCCTTCCAGATCCACCAAGCCATTGCCCAAGCACACCCTCCCGTCACCTCACGTGCTTGGAGCATTCTCTGAAAGGTCTGTGGTAACGTCATTCAGTGAGAACTTAACACCACACCCAGGTCCATTGATAAGAAAGAATGCTGGGTGGTTTGGGGAAGAAAGAAACGAGCCAGTGGTAGTCAGGTCGGAATATTTTGGGTTTTCAGAAACAAAATCAAGCTGAGCATAAACGACTACACGAGTTAATCCGCTGCTATTCTTGGAATCTCTATGCTTGGGGTTGGAGGGATAGAGAATTGACTACCCCATGGTCACCCAGACAGAATGGATCCTTGGGCAGTAATGGGGAATGCTTTCACTTTGTGAATTAAAACGATCACTCAAGAAACCCAATTAATTTAAGTACTTGGAGTTCATCCAGATCTTGGATGGGAGGACCTAGCAGATGCTACAAATTCACTGCATAGGCTCTGTCCCTAGTAGGCCCGCTTTCTCAACAGCAACAGTGTTTCTCAGGGCCCACAGGGAGGCTGCCCAGAGGCAGAGGCAGGAACAGGAGAAAGATACAGGCCATTTCTCCCTAAACAAGCCCGGGAGCTGCCCCCTTGTGTCCTCAGAACCCCCAGCCCTTTGAGTTCATTCTCTACCATGCAAAGAGAGAGGCCCAGTCCCCACCTTCAATACGGGAGAAAACCACAAGCATGACCTCACTAACGCTTGCTAGGTATCTAGGAGTCTCAAATATTTTTCATTGTCCCGGTGTGCCTCTTGCTTTGATTTTCTGCTTTTCCTTCTCACTCTTCCGGCTGTTTTTCTTCTGCCATTTTCTCATTCTACTCCATCCCTCACTGGGCCCCAACCCTGTCCTTCCTTTGTGCCGAAGACCACTCCATGCCATTGCTGAGCAGAGCAGACTGACAGGGTTGGGCTAGCAGGTGGGGGAATGGCTGCTCAGCACAGAGCCAGCAATATTTCGGGGCCCCCACCAGTCCTCCTCCCACGCCCATCCCTGAAGATACTGTTTTTGTTTGCTGCAGGGCCACCTGGCCTTCTCTGGGTTTTTCACCCAGCCACCTCCCCGCTTGTGGACCATCCGGCCCCAGGACTCACTGTTCCCAATCTACATGCCCACTCATATATGTTCCTAACCAAAAGAGATGTCTTCTCCCCAGATGACGTCTGCCATTCTCCAAACTCAAAGGTCTTAAACTGCAGCCAACTCCTAAAATAACCTTCCAATGCTTTTTAATGGATTTTTGTTGTTTCGGCTTTCAGAGTCTGTTAGCATTTGGGGTAGTCCGCCTTGGGTCAGTAGTGAGATGTGCCCCATCAGCCCCTCCTCTTTCTTTGTCCAGCTGCCACGGCTTCAGGGACGGACGGTAATAGTCACAAACGAAGCAGCATTTTCAGTGGGTTTCCCTAACACAGCTTCCCCATCAGCCTCTTCAGCCCAACCCGATGTCAATCTGTTCTTTTCCTGTCTCCGCAGTAACAGTGGTTTCCCACAGAGTGCCTCCCTGCCGCCATACTTCTCTCAAGGTTTGTACTCTGGGCTCTAGTGACCTACTCCAGGCAACATGCCTCCATGACTGGATTCCTAACCGTCCCAAAGCCTTTTGGCAAAGGTTTGGTTATTTCCTAAAAGCCAGAAGATATGTTTTCTCATTCAATATTTAATTCCGTTTCTGCTGTGTGCCAGGGCTGTTGGAATTCTAGGATGCTACTACATAACACACACACACACACACACACACACACACACACACACACACACACGGCCTCAGAAAGGTGTCCTTGGCCTTAACCTTGACGCAGAGAGCTTTTCCTCCCTGCTGTTTTTATATGGTGCTCAGGATAGTGTTTGGCATTCTCGGTAGTTTTAGGTTTCTATAATGAATCTCTCCTTGAGTTGTGAGTTGAGGAACATGTTTAAAATACAAATTAAGAAAATTCAACCCCCTAAGATTCTGATTCAGTAAGTCTGGATGAGGACCTGCATTTTTAATACCTTCTCCGGGTGTCCATGATAAGTATTTGCTGAGAGTGTTCTCAAACTTGAATATGAATACAGATCGTCTGGAAATTGTGTTAAAATTCTAATTCAGTGGGTCTGGGGTGGGATGTGAGAGTCTGCATTTCTAGCGAGTTCTCATGTGATGCTGATACTGCTGGTCCATGGACCACTTTGAGTAGCAGCAAAGGCCTACAAGGTAGAACTAGACTGTGTTTATTTTCCAGCCTTAGAGACTTGCAAATGATTGACACATGGTAGGCAGTTTTTAAAATGTTTGTTGAATGACTGAGTGTTGAATGACTGTGGAAAGTTACCCAACTCTAGCAAATAGATTTTTCTTATGCCAGGAAACTGGCCTAGTGTTGCCAGATTTTCTCATTTTTTTTTCAAGAAAAACTGGAAATATGGCTTTTAATATGAAATTACCTGATTTTTTTATTATTATTTTTTAAGGATTTTATTTATTTGAGAGAGAGAGAGAGAGTATAAGCAGGGGGAGCGGCAGGGGCAGAGGCAGAGGCAGGCTCCCCACTGAGCAGGGAGTCAGACACTAGGCTCAATCCCAGGACCCTGAGATCATGACCTGAGCTAAAGGCAGATGCTTAACTGACAGCCACCCAGGCGCCCCCAAATTACCTGATTTTTAAAGGTTGACTTAAAATTTTTATTTTATTTTATTTATTTATTTGACAGAGTGTGACACAGGGAGAGAGGGAACACAAGCAGGGGGAGTGGGAGAGGGAGAAGCAGGCTTCCCGCAGAGCAAGGAGCTGGATGTGGGGCTCGATCCGGGGGACCTGGGATCATGACCTGAGCCGAAGGCAGACGCTTAACGACTGAGCCACCCAGGCGACCTGATTTAAAACTTTTTTTAATTGCTGTGAGGAACAAAACACTTTCGTTTTGGTCATGAACACACGCAAGAACACCAGCGTGTTTTATAAACAGAAAAGTACCTTAGTACTTGAATTATGGCTCAAGGGCCAATTTTTTTTTTTTTTTTTTTTTTTTGGAGCACATCCATTACATTCAGTTGAATACATTATCCCACAAACATGTGAGACACCAATGAAATCCATTATGTTGTCAATGTTTCCTAAGCATTTGAGGGTATAGTGAATACTATGTGGTTTCCACAGTTTCCCCACACCCCCTTGACTTTCCAGTGTCCACAACTCACTGTGTTTTGTCAACCCTCACTGTGTTGCTTGGCTTCTGCGCACATCTAAGCTTCAGACACTTCACGTACAGCAATGTTTCCCAAAGTAAATTCCACAGGCCCCCAGTTTCATGGGTTGGTGGTGGGGATTATTAATGTAAATAGTTGGTTAATTTTGGGGGGAATGCTTACCTTAATCAAAATTGATCCTTTTCCCCCTAAGACTGCCAGGACACCTAGTCCTCAGTCTTCTCCTTTGGCTGCTCCCATGTTAGGAAGATAAAGGATATTCTGTATATTGTCCAAAAAAACCCACCCCAGCTCCCTTGAGGATCTCAATAGTAAGGGTGGTGTATGGCTGCAATAAAAAGTAGTATATGGTCTGTTAAGAATATGATTTCATGGTGCTGGCCTGCAGATGCAGAAGCAGAAAAATAATTCCTCAACTCTAAAGGAGCTATGCACTATAGGCCTTGTTTATATTCGTTAACTATATAGTTAACTATATAGTTTCTTTCATTCAATACACAGTGTGAAGTGCCTGCCATGTTGGACTGCAAAGGTAGGGATAGGGAAAATCTGTTTAGGCCTTGGGAGTCTAAAGAAGGCATCTCAACAGTTCAGGGCAGTCTGATCTGCTTATTTTGAAGCAGGGAACACCATGGTGAAGAATCCTGCTAGCCTGGCCCAGGGGACCTCAGCCCTTCCCGGGTAATTCTCCTGGCTCAGTGGCCTGGATCAGCAGTTTGCCACTTGTGGCCTATTGTTGATGGAGGAACAACCCTGCTTCGGGAACCACCTGGAGTGCTTGTGAAATGCAGATTGGGTGATTCAAATCCCCCTCCCCCACCCCAAGGATTCTTAACTTATGCGGAATAATGTTTGGGAAATCACAGTTTCAAGTCCTGACCCTGCCACTAAAAGCACGGGATTTGTTCAGGCTCTCCGAGCCTCTGTTTCCTCATTTTCAAAAGAAGATAATACACATCTTGCAGTGTCGCTGTGAGGATTAAAGGTAGGGTACAGGGGTGCCTCACTTAAGGCCTGGGCAGAGTCATGCTGAATAAATATGTGTTGAACAATGAATGAATGACAACATGAATAATTCAGAGAACATTCAGCTCACAGAATTTTTCAGTTCTTAACAGCCGTTCTGGCATATAGAAAACAGCATTGGCGATTACAAATCAACACAATCAAACATTTGCTGAGATTAGGAAACACATTCTCAGACTCAGAAAGTTTCAGGGAAGCATAAACAAGACAATAAGGTGTTAGGGAAGGTGAGACACAAATGCTGGGTAATTTACAGGTACCTCACAGACTTCCTGATTGATCAGGTAGTTGGTAGGGTCTTCTGTGAGAGTTGAACACTTCTACCTCTTTAGAAAATTCAGTTAGGAACAGTAGGTAGCAAACTCTGGTTCTAGGGGATAACAACATTCTCAAAGTAATTTCACCTTGTCTTGGGTAACTTATATTTCTTATTGTGTAAACAAATGAGGACCTAATTCTCTTTATTACTGCATTGTGACCATATCAGTGGTTGGGAATCCATTCTGGGTGTGCTGGAGCCTATGAAAAAGCAGTCTCTTGAATATTCTTTTTGATGATCACATTAAAACTACTGTGACTTTTTCATTAATGGACTAGTTATTTTATAGTATGTGACATGCACATTTAAGAAATCACTCAAATTTGTAGAACTGTCCTCAAAGTTTCACTGACATGGCTATAGAATGATGCCTGAACAGTCAACAGCCCTTATAGTTTTGAACAGGTGAAAATTATTTTTGAAGCTATGGCTTCTTACAATGTTAATTTTTGGGAACAATTGCAAGGGCATTTTAGGGGGAAAATGTGTGATGACAGAAGTGAAAAATAGCTTACAGCAAGTTAACTTTCAAAATGCTGTACTTTTGAAGGCCTTAGCAACAGACCACCTCCCAGAGCTGAAGGAAGAAACTTCTCCTTGCCAGTTCCAAACAAACCTCGATCACTGTCTCCTGGGGAAGAAGAGGTAATTAAGCATATGTTTTAATTTTCTTTTTTTCCTAGCAAATAACCAGAATCTCCCATTTGATACTCTTTTGTATTTTTATTATTATTTGAAATTACCCTTAATTTTTTTTTAGTGAGTTAAAGGGGAGGATCCAGATGAAAAATAGGTTCTTTTTCCTTGGTGTTTTTTCAGACTCTTCCAATTGCAAATGTGTGTTTTGTATTTAACAAAGAGAAAAATAATTCTATTTTTCATTTGTTTTCTAGCTTATGACCTTGAATAAGTCACTTAACTGCTCATTAACCCAGATTTTTCATTAAGTGTATTATACTAAACTGAGGAAATTATTACATCTATATCTTTCCTGATTAAAGCTTCCATTATATATGGAACGCTTATTCACAACTACCTTTGCAACCAGTGTCATGATAAAAAGCAGTTTGTGCAAAATATCTTCTATTTAGCCCCACCTAAGTGATTCCATTTTCAAATTAAGAAAACAAATGTTTCAAAGCCCATGGAATTAAGGTGGTGATTTATGAAAATGATTACTTGGAGGCTTTTCTTTTCACTTACATATGTAACTGCAAAATTTATTCTGTTTTAAAAAATTTACATTTTCAGAATTCATTAAATGAAGAATGGTATGTTTCTTACATTACCCGACCAGAGGCAGAAGCTGCTCTTAGGAAGATAAACCAGGTACTGTGCTAAAGTTTATTTTTAAGTAGTTATAAATATTAATGGAAGCTGAAGAGGGGAACTGGCTTTTATTGAGGACCAATTATGGGCTAGAAATTCTGCTAGGTGATATCCATGCCGTTAGGCCAAGGGGACCCATTAGTGACAGCTTTACACCTACCAGCATCCTATTCCTAGAATCTGGGAAAAATCTAAATTAAAGCAGTCATTTGGGTGGCAGAGTCTGAGGAGATTTTATTAACGGAAAAGGTCTATCTTGTCATAGGAAGCATACCTTATCAAAAGGAGACTCTTTCCCCAAAATTCTAACATCTGACTGGTTCCATCTTCATTTTTTTATACACAATTGGCCATCCACACTGATGTGAAGGGATCCCTATGGAGAGAGGCAACAAAAACTTTTTGCCCTTTCCCCTAGAAATTTCTAGTTTAACCAGATCTCCTGTGGTCTGGTGCTGAACCTTAACCTTAAATCTATGTATCTGAGAAAGAAAAGCAAAGATCCTTCATCTCTCACATCTTGAGTCTACAAGAAAAGTTCTCAATCTTAGCTGCACATTTAAATCACCTGGGGAGCTTTAAAAATTCTGATTCCTGGGTTTCACCTGGAGAGATTCTGATTTAGTGAGTTAGGTGTTTCTCTGTGGGTTCTGGGAGTCTTCAAAACTCTAAATTCTAAATTCTAGGCTGTGAATCACGGGTCCACAGGTATATCTGTTGAATAGAAGAGGTTCTGAATGGAATTTACTCAGTCGAAATAAAAAGAACAAAGGAAAGCCATTATTTATTGCAGATAGCAGATTGCAGATTGATGGCTATTTAAAGCCATCATGATTCAATACACAAACAAGGGAGTATTTTAAAGCTGCCTTACTAATTAATTCTATTTTAATATTAGATCTTTACAGTATTAATATTAGGTAGCAATAATTTATGGAATGACATTTTAAAGTACAGGACAAATCACAACACTATTTTAATAAATAGAAAAAAAGTGATAACACAAGATGGTCCACATTTGTTGATGGTCAGGTGTTTAATGATGAACATGTGGAGATCATGAGGTTGTAAAATGGGTGAATTTTATAGGCATTTGCATGTTTTATGACTTTGGCTATGGAAAAAAAGGGTTAGGGAATTAGCTCCCAGGAGTAGGAAGACAGATCTTTAGTTAAACCAATAAAGTCCTTTATTTTGTCTGGCCGTTTATCCACTCAACCACTTAGTATTTATTTTATTACTGAAAAAAGGGATTTCTTTTTCATCAAGAGACTTCAAATAGGTCCCTGAGATTTGGAAATTTCTCTGACACAATCTTTGCTACCTCTTGACAACCAAGAAATCTGTGACACCGGGGACTGTAACCGTTCACGAAACTAAATGTTCACTGACTTGTCAACTGGTTAAGTTTCCAGATCTCTAGAGGCTTGTCTACTGCTTTAACAGGCAAGAGAAGTAGTGACATTTACTGGGGTACCTGGGTGGCTCAGTCAGTTAAGCATCTGAATCTTGATTTTGGCTCAGGTCATGATCTCAGGGTCCTGGGATCGAGCCCCGAGTTGGGCTCCCCGCTCAGCAGTTAGTCTGCTTGAGGATTCTCTCTGCCTCTCCCTCTGCCCCTCTCCCCACTCATGCCCTCATGCTCTCTCTCTAAAACAAATAGTTAGGTTAAAAAAAAAAGAAGTATGGACATTTGCTGCTCACATAATAACAGGAATTTGTTCTTTTAGGATGGCACTTTCCTGGTTAGAGACAGCTCTAAAAAAACAATAGCAAATCCATATGTCCTCATGGTGTTGTACAAAGATAAAGTTTACAACATCCAGATCCGTTATCAAGAGGAAAGCCAAGTTTACTTGTTGGGAACTGGACTCCGAGGGAAAGAGGTAAGGAATTCCAGTTGCAAAATTTCCCCAAATCCTCTGTTTATGCCTTTCCGCATACCTGCCAATATGGAACCTTGCTGTAACATTCTTTGGGGAGGTCCATACTATATGGCAACATTTGAGTTAAATCACATTAGTGAAGCCCTTCCTTTACTGGAAGGAAATAAATAACAGTAGCTATCTGTGCCATAGAATCTTTCTTATATCTTTTATTCCAAATAGTCCAAAATCACATGTATACCTTTTAAAATTAAAAAATTAAGACAAATTATATAGTTAGATGGTGTCAAAGGGAAGTCCCTTCTATCATTCATCTCTGTAACATAATTTTAATGTAAGATTGCAGTGTACTTATGAGGCTATATTTTAAAATTGACATCTGGAAAAGGGTAAAAAAAACAATTCTTGTTGTGGGGATTATTTAAATATTTGGGTCATTTCTCACTTAAAAGGGAGGCTTGGCCAATGAAGGTGGCCAAACTGCCAAAGAAATTTTCCTCTGTTTGGCCAATGTTTACGCTAATTCCTTTTTGGATGGTAATCAAAAACACTGCTTTTGCAAAGGAAACTAAAAGCTACACTTAAGCCCCAAACATGTTCTTTAAGTTCAAAGTTCCAGGAGGAGGATCAGCTGAATCAAACATTTCCAGAATGAAAAACAGCTAACCCTTAACTTCCGCTTCACATATTTTTAAGTTATGATCATGTAAACAAGTAGGAAAAAACCACATGCTTCTGATCAAATATTTCAAACACTAGTTCAGTGTGGCTGGAGCTGAGTAGATGCTAGAGGGGCAAAGAGGTCTGCTCTCCAGAATTTCTGTTGGTCTGGTGGGAAACTAAGTACAAACCACACGTTGCAGCTGTCCTGGAGGGAGGCATCCAGCCCAGTAGTCTCGGAGGAAGTGCATAATGCTGTCTGCGGTACCTGTGTGATTCTGACCTATGTCTAGAAGGATGGATGGGTTTTTTTCCAGTTTGGCCATCAGGGATAAGGTGATGAAGGCAATGGGTGCAAAGACTTGGCTGCAGAGCCTCTGCGAGCGTGAGGTGGCAGTGAGGACACAGCAGAGAGATCATGAAGGAACCATTCATTCTGCCATGCCACGGATATCAGCTCCAGACAGCGGGACACCGTCTGACCTCCTGATTCCTTATACCTCCTCACACTATTAGTGACTACTAAGAGTGAAACAGAGATACAGAAACCAAAATCAAAGACCCAAACAGAGCAATCCTAAGGCAAAGACCTCTTATTTATGACCCCCATAAAGTTAAAATTTACATATATATAACGTATATATATATATATATATAGTCTTTTATCCATAATCTGTTGGATGTTGAAGCATTATTTTTTCAAAGTTCTATAGCAGAAATTATTAAAATATTTGCCAAGTATTACATTTTTTTTCTCACCATCCTCATGACTTGAAGAGGTAGGAAATTATGCAGATAAAAAAAATGAGGGTGAAATTCATGCTACTCATTTCAATGTTGATCCATCTCCTTATTTTGAATTTTTCAGGACTTCCTGTCTGTGTCAGATATTATTGACTACTTCAGGAAAATGCCACTTCTGCTCATTGATGGGAAAAACCGAGGCTCCAGATACCAGTGCACATTAACGCATTCTGCAGGTTATCCCTAGCAAGTTAGCCAAATAAATGAACCTTCCTCCTGCCTCTGCTGCCAGCATGGGAAGATCAGTCAACCGTGGTGAATGGACAAACACTTAGAACTGAATCAAACCCCTCAACATGAGCACAAGGTTTTGACTTTCACATAAAAAACTGTTTGAAATGAAGACTGTCAAATAGCTCATAATTTATTTATTCTTCTTCAATGTTTGTAAAGTGCATGAGTTAATACTGTTCACACTTGAAGTCTAGTAGTGCACTGTAATAATTCATTTAAAAAGTGTATTTTGGAATACCCATTTCAAAGTACAGTAGTTTATATAGTTACAGAAATAATTTGAGGCAAGTTTAAAAACACTGAAACAGTAATAGTTTTTGATATCACATAAAACTGATTTTTTTGATAGCCAAACCTTTGTTAGTCAGAGGTAGTCCTCAGTTTTATACATATAATTTAAAAATTCCTAAAATTCATTTTCTCAGCAGCAATCATTTAAGAGGCTTCAAACTATTTCATCCTTTCTTATTTGGTGTTTTTTTGCTGGGGGGATTTTTGTGTACTTTTTTATGAAAAGATAAATGCATGATGGGATAACTTCCTAGGATTAAAATTAATTTTCCTTTTGCTTTACTTTTGTGTTCCTAAAACTATTGACTTTGTTTAGTCCATACTATTATACTTTTGTTTTAAAGCAAATTTAACTACAAATACTGAAAGTAATCATTTTAAATTTAGAGATGAGGCTTTGGTATCAAATACATCTGGATATAAGTGCATCATATCCCAACACCCACATCCCACCTCCTCTAGAATTCCCACAACTCCAAAAGCATTTTCAAGTCATGTGGATTTTACCAAAGTCTTCCAGCAAAGATGAAAGAGCAATGCATATCCACAGAAAAATGTGATCAGACTTGCCTATTAGATGCCTTCCTTTGGATCTCTTTTATCCCCTGACAACTCCACCATAAAGCCCTTCTCATCTTCATTCCTAAAGAGCCTTTATAGATCCTTTGAAGCAACACAGCTCTTTCCTTCAGCTTACTTATCTCACTTAACAGACAGTAGTAGGTGTTCAGCACAACAAAAACCAGGCATTTGGTTGTTCTTCAAGTTTTCCCCTTGAGGGCCTTGGTTATTATCCACCACTTTTATTAACGACAAAAATTTTCGGCTTCTCTATTTAATCTGCAAGTTTTCTGAGGGGCAAAGAAAAATATCTTGCCTCTTCATTTTCGTAAGTTAATTAACAGAACATCAGAAGGGAGCTTAGACGTTACCTGGTTAAAACTGATAATAATTTGCTAAGATAACAGGTACGTGGAGACTTTTAACCAATTATGATGATAATGTTTCAAGCTTCATCCTTATAAACTGGGAGTTCTCAATTTAGGGTCCAGAGCTAGGGAGTTCTAAAGCTGAAAAATCTTCATTCATTTACATGTTTATTCAATGGAATTTCAACAAGCATTTAATTAGTGCCTATTCTGTGTTAAATACTGAGTTGGATGGTGAGGATAGCAGACACCATGAGTTGATCTTGTGTCCTGCTTTAGGGCACACTACCCTTTATGTTTGAAAATCTCTAAAATGAAGGAGGTCATAGATTTCAAAGCAGCTATTTGGTAGTGAATCATGTCAGCTGCCATATCTCTACCCTCTTGTACCTGCCATATGTAGGAAACCAGTCTAACAGAAGAGGATAAAGTCAATGCACAGAAATAGAACCAGGTTAGAAACAGATGATAAATTAGTAGAGTCCCTGACATCTATTTCAACCACTTCCAAGTCACATGACCCAATAAATGCTTCAGCTAACTTGAGTTGTTTTTGGCACTTGTTACCAGGAGAGATCTGATTAATACAAATTCATACCATCCACTTCTAATTTGGTTAACTCTCTTTCAATCTGAGCCAAATTCAAGCATAAAGTAAAGGATAAGCAATGCCCCATGGCCAATTTCCTATATCATATTCTTGCCACTAGTGAAATGAATTAGCCATTCTTTGAAACATTAAAACAATAAAACAGCCTTCAAGAATATTAAATGATTATTTACAACTCATCATATTTTTATTTTGTTTTTTATCATATTAAATATGTTAGTAGACTCAATTCTCCCAGATACATGTTAATTCTACAATAAATACAGTTACAAATTCACAACAAACAAAAAGAAATCAGATAGAAAAACTGGTAGAAGCAAAGGATACATCTGATATTTTAGACTCTTCAAAGAAGGGGGTTTTCCCTTTTGGTTCCTGTAAGTCATCTGTCTTCACAGGACGATTAAAATGTAGAGTAAGATCACAAAGCAGCAACTGGGAGAGCTCTGTGTAAAACAAAATAATAGAAGATACCGTCTTGGAGCACATATGTCATAGACAACTATTATTTCTTTTTTTTTTTTAAAGATTTTATTTTGGGAGGTGCCTGGTGGCTCTCAGTTGAGTGTCTGACTCCTGATTTCAGCTCAAGATCTCAGGAGCCCCGTGTCAGGCTCTGGTTTCAGTTCGGAGTCTGCTTGAGATTCTCTCTCTCCCTCTCCCTCTTCCCCTAGCCCTGCTTGAACTCTATCTCTCTCTAAAATAAATAAAATCTTTGAAAAAAAAGATTTTATTTTTACATAAATCTCTATACTCAGTGTGGGGCTCGAACCCACAACCCTGAGTTCAAGAGTTGCACAGTCTACCAACCGAGCCAGCCAGGTGTCCCTATTATTACTTTTAGTAGCTATTTCTAATTCTTAGTTTTCTCCTAAGTGATTATTGATCAGACCACAATTAAGTGTGCCCCATTTTGACTTAAAGTCAAATTTATATACTATAAAATAAGCATGGCATAAAAATTAACTAGAAGGCTCCACTATCTTACTAAACTGCAACTTGATTTATACAAATTTGATTTATGCTTTTTGTAAACTTACTATTTTTGTGTTATATGTTATGTATAGAGAATCAAATAGGTCTATAAAGCATGTTACAAAAATTAGCAGTTCCTATCTCCAAGAGGCAACCACTTTTAACTTTTTTTTCCTGCTCATATTGTTTTTGTTGCTTTTGTTGTTTTGTGTGTGTCTGTGTTTGGTGTCTTTTGCTTTTGTTTGGAGGGCAGGTATTTACCTCCATATCTCTAAATGACATGCATATTTTATTTTTTCAACTGTAGGTATTATCTATCTGCTTCTGACTACAGAAGATTATGATATAGTTCTTTTCACTCACCCCCCACTCCCCCAGAGTGTACTTAAGAGTACAATATTTTTTCATTTTTACTTTTTAAAAGATTTCATTTGTTTATTTGACAGAGAGAGAGAGAGTGAGAGCAGGAACACAAGCAGGGGGAGTGGGAGAGGGAGAAGCAGGCTTCCCGCCGAGCAGGGAGCCCGATGCGGGGCTTGATCCCAGGACCCCAGGATCATGACCTGAGCCTAAGGCAGATGCTTAACGACTGAGCCACCCAGGCACCCAAGAGTAGAATTTTTGTTAGCTAAATATTTAAAAGTTAAAACGTTTTGATTATATAAATATTCTCCACAGCTGAGCCTTCCAGTACATTTCCCTTCCTGCATGGTGCCACCCAGTTAGTAATTTTCTTGTTTTCACTGCTTAATTATCATAAATATATCCCAAATCTTCCCCAGTTGGGCTGATCTCCTTCTAGTATATAGTCAGATGCCTTAGCTATCTGATTGTTGAAAGTCTCTCCTCTCCTAGAGCCTTATGATCTACTCTAGTCCGGACTGCTTGCTCTCTAGATCTGCAGCACAGCACGCATCTGGAAACTCCCTTCACCATTATCCTAGGGACTTCTTTCCCCCCTCCCTTGTGTGGAGTATCCTTTTTCCAGAATCTCATTTCTTTCTCTTTTGGTCTGCTACCTTGTTTGGTGGAATATGACCTCAGTAATCAGTAACTTTCTGAAGGGGGAAAAATTTTATGTCTGAAAATTTCTCTCTCTATACCAATGCTTTAATAGATTGACTATAGAAATATGTTAGAAATCATGTTTCTTCAGATTTCCAAGGCCTTGCTACACTGTCTTCTAGCTTCCAATGTAGCTTTGAGAATTTTCATAATTCTAATTCTTAATCGTTGTTTCTCTTTAGAAACTTCAAGGACTTTTTGTTCTTCCAGAACAAAATTTCACAGTATTGTACTTGGGGGTCTACTTTTAACCACCGTGTGGGGCTCTTTCATTATAGAAACTCCTCTCCTTCAGCTCTTTAAATTTTTCTCAGATTAGTTCTTTAATGAGTTCCTCCCTGTGCAGTGTCTGCATTCTTTTTTTATAACATTCCTGTTTACTGAATGTTGAACTTCCTTGACTGATCTTGTAATTTTTTTCTCCCCAAAACTTTCCACCTCTATTTTTTTTTCCCCTCTAGGGGATTGTCCTTTTATCCTTAAACCCTTACACAGAGGTTATTTCTATTGTCCCACTTAATTTCCAACAATTCCCTTCTCTAAAATTTTTTTATAGGATCATGTTCCTGTCTCATGGACACAGCATCTTCTTTTACTTCTCAGCTATTGATAGTTTCTTGGGAGTTTTCATCTTACTTCATGATTTCTGTTTCTTCCTCATTGATGGAATCCATGTATTGACTTGTCTCTGCTTTTCATATTAGATGCTTTCATCAAATATCTATTGCGCCAGAGCTATCTGCTCATATTTAAGACCATGGCAGTAAAGACAACTGGAAACTCTGTGCCTATGGTAGCCTGTCCTGGGGGGTGAGCTGACTGGGTATTTTGTTGGGAGAAACCTCTGCTCTCAGTGTCTTTAGATTTTTTTTCTCTTAGGCTAAGATTCCTGAAAGAAAAATCTGCTTGAGGGTGTAAATCTGGCTGCCAATGTTTTGTAGCCAAGTGGGAAGAGAAAGCTGGGAGTCTTGTAATTCAGTATGTAAACTTTGTCTTAATATCTTTGTTTTCAGTACAGTACTCTTTGCCTCAACTTGTGGCTAATGGCTCCAGGCCAGAGATCCTGTCAGGGAATAAAACTCAACTCTTCTGTCATAGAAAAGGACAGTTGCCTAGTTCAGAGAGGGGAAGAGAACTTAGGGTTCTACAAACTACTTCTTCTTCTTCTTCTTCTTCTTCTTCTTCTTCTTCTTCTTCTAATTCTTTTTTAAGAGAGAGAGGTGGGGGAGGCACAGAGGGAGAATAAAAGTTTTTTTAAATTAAAAAAAGAGAGAGAGAGTCTCAAGCAGGCTCCATGCCTAGCGCGGAGCCTCACGCGGAGCTCTATCTCATGACCCTGAGATCATGACCTGAGCTGAAATCAAGAATCAGATGTTTAATTGACTGAGCCACCCAGGTGCCCCTTTTTAATATCTATCTATCTATCTATCTATCTATCTATCTATCTATCTATCTATCTATCTATCTATCATCTATCCATCCATCCATTCATCTATCTCTCTAGGGTCTACAACTTCTTAAACATTTAACCAGCCTTCCTGTTCTTAACCCCACTTTTACCCCCACTTCCTGAGGATTCTGGTGCCACCAAATATTGAGTCTTCATTGGCTCTACCCAGCCAGCTCACAGATCAGATTTTTGGACTTTAGGGTTCAGACTTTTCTGTTTGCTTCCATTTGCTTTCTGTTTCACTGTTAACTTTTTTTGAGAGCTCTTTACCTTGTGCATTTTTGTCTCTTTAAAACCACTTTAAATTTAAATCTCAGGTTTCCTAGTGACTAGTTGTGTGATCTAGGAAGAGTAGTTAACCTCTCTATGTCTGTTTCTCTATTTGTAAATGCCAGTGGTAGTATTTTCTACCTCACAAGGTTGTAATGACAATTGAGTCCATTTATACAGAGCTCTTGGAAGAGCATCTGGATTACGGTAAATACTATGTGTCAGCTATTGACATTATTATTGAGAAAAGGACGTTTGGCTAAAAGGAGTGCTGTTCATTTAATCTTCCATGTTTACCAGAAGTCTGCTCTCTGACTCTAGCTCTACAAGCCCCTATAGCCTAACTGCCTGATTTACCCCACAGCTTCTCAGGAACATATTCATCACACGTCTATTTTACTTCACGGAAGAATAATCCCCAAGTTAGCACAGTTAAATCAAGTTTGAGAAAAATCTAAAGCTTCTCTGTTTTAAATGAACACAAGTATCCAGACACCAATTTTTCATTTAATAAACATTTCTAAGAACCTATTATATCAAGGTGCTATGTTAAGTGCCTGGAAGACCCTTAAGGAGCTTACAGTTGAGCAGGGATAGGAAAAGTAAGTAAACATGCAATTACAACACAGTGTGATAGATGATATGAAAAGGTAGAAGAGATAACATGCTTGCTTACAAAAAGTTTGCCAGTGTAAGTAACCTTGACTAGCAAGTAGCAGTTAACCTGGCTGGGTGGAGGTGGGGGTGCAGCAGTGGGCATTTCAGAAGATGCATGTGTTATTAAGATACAGATATGAATAAAGAGCAAATATGTAGCTCAGCAAATGGTTTGGTGTGGCTGAAGCACAGAATGTGCAGGGATAAAAGAATGATAAGATACTGGAGAGGTAGGCAGGGGCCTGATCTCAAGAGGTCTTATAGTCCATTCTAGGAGGTTTGTTGGACTTTATTCTGGGGCAATAGTGAACTAATGAGAGTTTTCAGGAGATTCACATTTTAGAAAGGAAATCCTTACTGTATCATTGAGTTTGGTTTTGAGGGGTGATGAATTAAGCAAAGATAACGAGATTTCTTTATATCAGATTCCTCAGAGCCTTTGTTAATATGTACTGTGAATTTTTGAGAGAAATATACAGCATAAAGCACTTCCCAAATTTATTTGACCATAATAACGTGGACTCTGTTCTTACCGCACACCACTTATTAACATCTCTTGAGACAGCAGGGTTCGAATATCAAAGTCTGGGAAATGTGGCACCCACTGTTTGGTGCCTAACTAACAAACACTTCCCTCTTGTTCTTGGTGGTACAACGTGATTCCATCTGAGGTGATCCTTTCCCCAGCTCCAGCAGTAAGTCCTGAGTGGCCCAAACTGGTCTTGACCATCCCATTCCCCTTGACAGCAGCTCGTGTAGGCATATGCATTTGATGCAAATGCGGCCACGAAAGGAAACGGAAAATGTGCTGGAGGGACCCGAGGAAAGGCTTTTATAGAGACAGGCAGATGCAGTGTCTGTCCATGGCCACACCTGCAGGTAATGACTCTGAGTGATAAACAGAGAGAACATAACAGAGCAGATAAATGGAAAGAACCTGGTATGGTCAGAAACCTTTAAAATTCTGAATTAATTCTGGGACTGCCCTACCTTGGATCTCTTATTTCCTTGTTGTATAAGCCACATTAAGTTGATATTTTGTTACTTTTATAGCTGAATTCCTTATAACTGACAGAGAGGTTATCTTCAAATATCCAAGAGCTGTCCTAAGAAGAATAACTACATATTCAGTGTAGTGTCATGTTTAGAAATAGGACAAGTGTGTGAAAGGAAGCCGGGAATGGATTTCAGCTAGTCCATAAGGAGGAACCATCTAAAAAGGAAGAGGCTGACTGGTGAGAGAGGGAGTTCTCCAACAGAGGAAATATTTGGTCAGGGATAAATTGTCCCTAGAAATATTCAATCACGGAGATGTTACATGTCTGGGATAAAGTAACAGAATGTCTGTGAGGTGAATGACTAAATGTCATGAACTGTAAGGTCTAATCCTACTCTATGAATCTGTTTAAAATGAAGAACCCTGAACTCACAGAATCAAACAAACTTATAATTTTAATTTGGAAGGAACCTTAGGGGCTTGGTAAAGATTAATGGATAGAGACACTGAATTTTGCAGAGCGTGACATCATCGTGCAATAGTTTATTGAAGGGAAGGAAGGAAAGTAAATTTAAAGAGGTTAGTTAGACAACATCATAAGCTTGTTAGTGTCAGGGATGGGAATTCAAGTCTGCTAACTCCCAGGAAAATTCTCAAACATAATTCATCTTTAGAGATCTAGTTCATATTACAGTGTCAACATTTCTTAAGAAGTAGAGAAATCCTAATTAGTAGGCAAATCCAGTTATATCCCGGCAGAAGCACAATTTGGCTCTATTGTTTGTTTTATAACTATGGCATGCAAACATTTTAATTCGGGGATTCCATACTTACCTTTCATCTTCTTCAGCTCTGAAGAAATTGTGTTAATGTTTTTAATTATGGCTTCCACATTTAGCTCATGGTCAGGAACATTATTCTTAAACATCTGATTTTAAAAGAGAAACAAAATGTATAAATCAGAAGCATTTATGTGCACCTTGAAAATACTTAAAGCTTTGGTATTTCTAAAAGGAAAATCTGTTATTTCAGAACTGAAATCATTCTGAAATGACAGTCAACATAACGGTTAAAATTCTAGTATAGTAAGGCATCAACTTGTTCATATTTTCCAACTGAAGACACCTCCAACTAGAACTCTTCTTTCATGAAACCAGATAACAAGATGGGGCCCTTACAATGGAAATGCAGTGGTCCCCTTTTCAGAAAGCCTCAGCACTTATAAGCTACCTTATAATTGAGTAGTTGTATAAAACTTTCTCTATTTTTGTTTATGTAAGACAGTGTATTCTTCTAATTGATTCTTGAATGACAGGGTCCACATTAAAACTCTAAGTTCATAGTAAAACTCAAAGTAAGATTCAATTATAATTTATAAACTAAGAAGATGGCAAAAGGACCCCTTTTATTTTAGCTTTGGGAATTAGGGCAATACACTTTTAAAAAATTCTGGTTAACTAAAATGTGTAAATCAACAGGTTACCATGTTATATGTACAGTACCTATTTTTTTAACCAATTGTGCCAGGTACAAATACATAAACAGGTGGTTCACTAGAAACTAACCTTAGCCATTCAAATCTCGCAAAATGACTTGAAAAAATAAACCACAATTGGCTACACAACTCCAGCAGTGTGAGTCAGGGCAGTTATGGGTCAGGCTGCTTGTCCAAAATAATGAAAATAAACTAACCGTTAAGTCAATTTCTTGTCTCTGCTTTCTCCTGAGTTGAGGAATTTATCCTACTTCACTCACTTTAGAGCCACTACAAAGGTATAAAAATTTCGTTTTCCAATGAATAAAATATATTTTGCATGCACCTACAATACCCTAGAAGCCAAAAAGATAGCCAAAAGCTATCTTACTTGGTTGGGTATAGCAAATCAAAAGATTTGTGTTTGGGATGGGGGTCGGGGGAGAAAAGCTGATTAAAATAAAGAGGGTGGAGAAAGTGTAATTAAAGAACTTTAAAAATGAGGAATGGTTGTAAAAAAACATTAAAATTAAAAAACCTAGAGGGAAGTAGAAACTACATGGATAGGGAAATATCCAAGAAAGTTGACCCTCCCACCCCGGGTCTGGTTATCCAGTGCCCTTGAGTGTGCCCTTGGACGGGTGGGGTCAGAAAGCAGAGCTGGGGCTGGACCCCACTGGCCTGGACAGAGGTCAGAGGTGTGTCAAGCCTTCCGTGGAGATGTCAGGTAGGCCATCGCTCGGACTGAAAGGAGAGGCCGGTCCAAGGGCATTCCCCAGAGGTGAGACGTGGTGAGCTGGCTCTGGGGACAGAGGGAGTAGTGGAATCTGAGGCCGGGATGCCGCCGACAGAAGGCACTAATGCAACCAAGGCACGGACCTCCAGCCAGAAGGCCGGCACGCAGGGTTCGGGCCCTCATCCTGAGAAACGAGGATCATCCCCACAGCTGTTGTTCCAAAGGCCAACCCCTCCCTCTCATCCCAACCTACACCAGTGAGGAAACCCAGGATGCCGCTGGCCCACCCAACTGCCACTTGGTGACTGAAGATAGCCTCGAAGTTTCCACAGCCCTCCTGCTCCCAAGCCGGATCAGGACGACGCAAAACGCACTCCGCGTGACCCTGGCCTTGGGACAACCACCGGCCAGCCCCTTCTGGAACCCACGGAAGCCTGTGAGGAGCCCCGGGCCCTTGGGGGCCCGCCCATTTGGAGGCTGACGATGGAGTCTGAGGCAGCCTGGAAATTTCAACAGCCTTCGCCTTGCCCCCAAACCGGATTAGGATTTATTTAAAACCCAGTACCCTTGGCTGGCCCACAAACCAACCCCGTGAGGACCCACCTGGCCAACCGTCACCAAAGCTCTGACAGCCGGTGGGGCGGAGCCGACTGTGAATAGCAGGACTGTGCATCCTGATTGGCCAGCTTCTCTGCCTGCTGCATCCTGGGAGTTGTAGTTCCAGGCACGGCCCCTGCCGAGAGGGTGCTTGGTGCTAAGCTGGAAGGGACTGGCCGCGGACCTGTGGGCAGAGAGGGAGGGTGGAGCAGGCGCTGACATTTTTGCTTCCAGTGTGCCAGGCACTGTGCTAGGTGCTTCCCAGCCCTTATCTGCATTTAATTTTCACAGTATAGGAGTGTGATTAAGGCTAGACCCTGGACTGAAACTGCTCAGGTTTGAATCCTACTCCAGCATTTGTTTAGCTAGAGAGATGCTGGTAAACAGTTTAATCATTTAGAGTTTAAGTGTCCTCATCTATCATGTGAAGATAATAATAACTGCCTTCTAGTGTTCTTTTGAGGTTTAAGTGAGATAATGCCTCAAAGGGGCTTGGCAGATGATGTGCCCAATAAATGTTAGTTATTACCATTCCTATAAATTTTTATAGATGAGTGAAGAGTACAGACCAATGGAGAGATATACACTGGTCTCTTGCCAGTGGAGAAGCTGGGATTCAAGCCATCTTTGCTAGATTCCAAGAGGAATCTCTGGCACTGCAACCTCTGGGGCTGACTCAAAGACTTTCCCTCGGGAAGGCTTTAGATTAAGTAAGTCTTTGCCTTCTGTTAAGTCTCCCCTATAATATCCAGCAGCTCTCAAACCAGTCTTTTCCTGACAACTGAGAGCACATAGTCTGTTGTTTATTTTATATCCAGTCACTTTCAGTTTGACACTGTGGAATATGTTGTCTGATGCAGAGTTAGATGTACTTATTTCACAGATCACTGACCTTAAACACAGGTGTACTAATGCACATACAAGCATGCAAGTGATCAACATGTGGTGAGCAACATTTATTTTCTAAATTAAGGACATTAACAAAGCAAAAATAACTGCCATCACTGTTTTTATAAAAGCAGAGATAATCTGACATCCAAAAAGAAAGGAAGAAAGAAAAAAGAAGGAAGGTTATAGTAATTTCAGAGTAAGACCAGCTTAATAAAAATCTTACTGGATGTCTCCCCCTTGTATTGACTCAGACTAGTGAAAACTGTACCTCAGACCTGCATCCAGATTGTGTGTTTGGAAACTCCACATAGATTATAGCAGAAGGAGATGAGGTGTTTAAGAGAAGTAAGGTGAAAAGCATAGGTGGGTTGAGATAGCATTGAGACTGAGAATCCTGAAAATCCAGGGATGATGGGGGCTGCGTCTTGGTAGGATGTGGTGTCTGTGGGGCCCCATCATCCCAAACCCACTGACCCCATTCACAGGATTCAGGAAGTGTTTGCGTGTCCTGCTTCAGCTCAGATACCTGTGGATTAGGACTCTGCTTACAGGATTTCTGATAGAACTTCCCCCTGTCCTGAACGCTGCTTACTTCTTATGAGTAGACTCAAATGCTGTAATTTGGAAAAGATCGTCCTGGTGATGGGTATTGAGGAGGGCACGTTCTGCATGGAGCACTGGGTGTTATGAACAAACAATGAATCATGGAACACTGCACCAAAAACTAATGATGTAATATATGGTGATTAACATAACAATAAAAAAATAAAAAAAAAAGAAGAAGAATCAACTTTGTGTTTCTTTAAAATAAGTGGTATAAGAAGAAAAAAGAAATGTGGACTCAGAAAAAGATAGATTGTAATAATGTATTTTCCTTCATAAAAATGTCTTAGAGTAACGATGACTACTTATTGTAGTGTTTTTCCTCCCCAAGTAACTATAGATTCTTATTTCTTTTCCTGAGAAAATAAAACTTTAAAAGCATGATCTGCTACTTGAAGCTTGAGACTGTTATAGATGAGGCCCTAAAAAATCTATCTTCCTTAATAAGTTTGCAAAGCTTTACTGGAACTCCACACAGGTTGCAGTTGTTGATTCTAATGTTAATCAAATAAAGAAGATTAAAAAGGTGGTAAATTGTCCCATAAAGAGAAAAGTTGTTACAGAACAACAAGGTGATTAAGCGTCTTATGGAGTCGTGTGTGAGTGCCTCAGTTAGTTTTATTACGAATTCTTGACATAAAGTCTTCGTTTCCAGGAAAACAAATTGAGTAAATTATCTCACTTCTTGCACTTGCTCTCAAAGTTCCCATTCCCATTGTTTCCCTGCTCATCATCAATTACAAGTGCTGGTCTCTGCCTGGGGACTCCTGTTGGAGCACCAACTCCCATCTGAATATGGCTTTGTGCAACCTTTTTGCATATAAATGTAGGTGGTGACAAGTGCATGCTTAGATCATTACTCGTGAAGCATGACCAGTATCTGATGGATCAAGGTAATCTCCATGTGTCAGAACAACCAATGTTCTCCCCATAGCCAGTCACAGCAAGAAAGGGAGAAGGCACGTGACTTTGGCCACTGTGGTCTGAGGTGAGGGGTGGGCTCCCTGCCCATTGTCTTCTTCAAGCAGCTGATGTTCCATTGGGCAAAATCATTTTCTTTTTCTCCAGAAGAAGCACACTCCTGAACTATAGAAAGGTGTTACTAACAAAAATCCACATTGCTCGCTGTAACTAAAATATTTTCACTTCTAATGAAGGAATTACACGAAAGAAAGATATCCTGCCATTTGCGAAACAAGAATGGACCTTGAGGCCGTTATGCTAAATGAAACATGTCAGACAGAGACTTATACGTGGAATCTAAAAACATTGAACTCCTAGGAACAGATTGTAGAATGGCATTTGCCGGAGGTTAGGGGGTGGGGGAAACGTGAAGATGTTGGGGAAAGGGGACAGATTTTCAGTTACAAGATGAACAAATTCCAAGGATCCAAAATGGTAACTGCTGTTAACAATATTCTATTGTGTAGTTGAAAGCTGCTATGAAAGTGGAGCTTTTAATGTTTTCACCATAAAAGCAACAACATAATAAAATGCTTATTATGTGAAGTCACGGATAACCTTGTTATGGTAAACATTTCACAATAGTTATGTATATAAAATCATCCCATTGTACACCTTAAATGTAATGCTATATGTCAATTATACCTCAATAAAGCTGAGGAAAAAAAGAAATTACAGTGTGTATCAACATTTTCCTCTGAAATAGGGCGGTACCCAAATATAGCTGCCAGATAAAATATAGGACACCCAGTTAAATCTGAATTTTAAGTAAATGACAAATAATTTCTTTACAAATAAGTATTTCCTGAATATTGGGTAGGTACATACTTATATTTACAATTTATTCGTTTATCTAAAAGTCAAATTTAACTGGGAATCCTGTACTTTTATTTGCTAAATTTGGCAACCCTATGCCCCAAACACTTCAACCCCTAAAAAGAAAAGCAAACAGTCTGAAGTCTTGTAGATTCAGTAGGTATGGAAGCCAAGAGAGAATATTGAAGTTTTCCAACTTGATGCCCGAAATAATAAAATACATACTTACTGTGCCAGAATTTGGCCCTCTTCTTCCTTCAACATTCCTGTAATGCAAGAATGAAGCAAATGGACAAAAGCTGACAACATTCAGCATGGTGCTGTTTTTGACAGTTGCTGCTATGCCCGTTTGTCTGAAAACTCTTTGTGCTTGGCTTTTTAGAAAATGCCTTTATCCAGCAAGGCATATTCATGATACAAGTTGTGTTTATTTCCAGAGATCCGCCAATCAGGGAAAACCTTTTCTCTCCCCAAATAAAATATGTTTCCAATTCTATCATGTCAGCCCTGCATCCCCCAACAATACTTCCCCTGTTTATTAAAGACATAGATCCTGATCAGATGTTTCTCTCCCCAGGCAATACCTTCACCTCCCCACACCTCATCCTCATCAGCCAGCCATGCAATGAAAAATGAATATCTTCATGAAAAAATTATATTATGTTCATGAAGTAAATTACAATAGAATATAAGTGTATACGCACCTTTTGTAAATGAAAATATGTATATATGCGTAAAAGCAGGTTTGGAAGAATATACACCCAAATGTTAACAAAGATCTCTGGGTAAAGTGAGATTTATGCGTGATTTCATTTCTCTGTGTTTATTTATATAGCCCAGCTGTGACTTTAGTCCCAATCCTCTTCTCTATATTTTAAACTCTCCAGGGCATCTCTCAATGTGGGCACAACAACAATTACTGTCAAGCGGAGCTTTTCAAGCCTTACGGGGCAATTACTCAGGAAGCTCGTGAAAATGCAGATTTCCAGGCTCACCCCAAAGACCTTGATTTAGTACATCTAAGGTAGGGGGTCCCTAAATCTGCATTCTTAATCCTTCCTCCTTCCATCTTAACCTAGTTCGACTGCAAACCATACTGCGGAGGAATAGTGAGTGACTTACTGGCTTCACTGGGCACCTTCTACAAATCCCATGTGCATGACCATGGTTGAAACTTATTTTGGCCACTGATGCCAGAATTATACACATATATAATACACACATATATAATTTAATATACATTAGATATAAATATATATTTTTATATACATATTATGTATATATACATATAATTTTCAAGCATAAATCAGTCCATTTAATTTCCCTTTGAGAGACGAAAGAGTTTTGGGTGGAAGGCCCCCCCCCCCAGCACAGCAGCATGGAGACTCACCAGGTCCTCTTGATTCACAGGCGGAGGGGAGGAGGGGGGTAGGGGATGTACCTTCCAGTTTCAGGTTCTTCCTAATTTAGGTCTGTATTTCTTCTGTTTCCTCTGCTTTTTGTTTGTTGGCTTCCAGTTTCCCTTGCCATCGTGATGGAAATCTAGTGCTAAGGTCTGAGATGTTATATGATTTTTCGCGAACATTTACATTTGTATGTGTAAGTTTCGGT